ATATTATAAATTATTGATAAATGACTAACCAAAAAAGGTTTAATGCATTTTAAAAGAAGACTTTAATTTTTAAAAATCAAATTACAAGATGAAGTTGTTAATCCCAATCAATATCCAAAGTAATGACTTGTTATAAGTTAATTTATTTTAGAATTTGTAAGTGAATAACATGTTGACAAATGAAGAATTTACTTAAAAATCAAACAAATATGATTGAGAATCAAAGAAGAAATTTGTAAAAATGTTAGAATATTGGCCTATTTTTACATTATAAAACCCAAAGAAAATGTTTGTATATGTGTGAGCATTATTTTTATATATATAAGAAAGCAAACTCATGTATAAATAACATAAAAGAATGACTAAAAACATTAAACATGAACAAGATACAAAATTAAGAAATTCAACTTAAATGCATAAAAACCAAAAGGTCTTAAAAACATATTGAATACATTTATAATGCATATTCATCCATAAAATACAAAAGTTTTGGCTTTTTTTTCTTTCTTTCTTTGTTGTTGTTTTTTCAATAGCCTAGGTTGTAATGTGTTGTTAAGCTTATTGTAAGGGAGAAAAGGAGAGTGGTTATGTCTACATGCTACACCACTCTCCCTTCCCTTTCTTTCTTCTAATGGTAAAGGTGTTGATCATCGCTATCAGTGGAAAGAGATTTATGACCTAGAAAGTTTGGCTATCATGCTATTTTTTTTCTTTGGCAATTTTTAAATTGTTCTTTTTTTAATTTTTCATGTTTCTTTTACAAGAAAGGGCTAGAAAAATTGGCTAGATGATAAAGAGAGATGAGAAAGAGGTTAGTGTTATTGTTGTGTTGGCTAGAATAGTGGTGGTTAGGTGAAATCCAGTGAGGAAGAGAAACAAGAGAGATATGGGTTAGGTTTTTGCAAGGGAAAAGATAACTAGTTTCTCTTCTCTCTTTTCTCTTTTATGCTATTTTTTTCTCTAAATTCTCCCCCCCACCACTTTTTCTTTTTCCCTCTTGCTCTCACTTTCTCTTTATCTTTTCTTATGGTGACTAGGGTTTTTTGGTGAAAGAGATAAGGTTAAGGATTTGTTTTGTGAGAGAGATAAAGTTAGGTTTTTTTATGGGTTTGTTTTTTATGTGAGTGGCTAGGTTTTGTCTCCTCTCTTTCTCACCTTTTTTTTTCCTCCCTCTTTAGCTTTTATTGGCTAATTGTTTTCTAAAAGATGCCAACAAGATAGAAATAGTAAAAAAAAAATATAAAATAGGCATTTGATGACTAAAATGCATAAAAAAATATCTTTTTTTTTTTATTATTTTCTTGCTTTTCTTTTTTCCAAATACTAGGAAAATATTTGAAAATGGGGTCAAATTTTTTATTATAACATTTGCCCTCTCTTTATAATATTTATGATACAAAGTCTTATGAAAAATATTTTTTAGTAGGCTCTTTATAATAAGCTTGTAAAGAAAAAATGGTGTTTATGAAAGCTTTTGAAAAACTATAAGAGTCTAGAAGAGACTTTGCTTAGCAATTTCTTTCTGAAGTTTCAGCTACTTAGAAACGTGACCTATCTCTTGGCTTAGTAATCACTTACATGACCATCGTTACAGTTGAGTTGAAATCTTTTAATAGTAAGATGAAATATTTCATTATATAAGTTGAATTATATCATATGATGATTTTCTTGGTATTTGTTTAATGTCTAATGATGCAAGACTTAGATTTTATAGGATTTCTTGGTATAGTTTGAAGTTCGATGCAAGACTAGTTTTTTGGTACAGGTTAAATTCTGTCATAAGATAAAATTCTTAGTACTGGTTTGAATTCGAGTGATGGAGGATCAACTTCTTTGTATTTATTTGAAATTTAATGACTCAAGTACAACTTTTAGTGATAGTTTGAATTCCATTGATGCATGATCAACTTCTTTATATTTATTTGAAATTGAATGACTCGAGTATAATTTCTGGTGATGGTTTGAATTCTAGTTATGCAAAATCAACTTCTACATAAATTTCTGGTGATGGTTTAAACTCCAACAACATGGGATCATCTTTAAGACAAACTTTTGGTGATGCTTTGAACTCCACGGATGTAGGTATATCCTCTGGATAAATGTTTGGTGATGATTTGAATTCCAAGGATGTAGGACCACTTTTTAGACAAACATCTAGTGATAGTTTGAATTCCAATTATGTAGGGTCATCTTTTAGTACTAGTTTGAAATCCATTAACTCAAGACCATTTTTGTAAACAATTTTTTAGTGATGGCTTGAATTTCACCAATAAAAGATCAACTTCTAAATAATTTATAGTGATAGTTTGAATTTCATTGACATAATATCAACTTCTGAATAACTTCTAGTGATGGTTTTAACTTCATCAATGCAAGATCAACTTCTAAATAACTTTTGGTTATGGTTTGAACTCTACTAATATAGGATTGACTTTTGGTGATGGTTTGGGTTCCATCAACACAAGATCAACTACTGAATGACTTCAAGTAATAGTTTGAACTCCACCAAAGCATGATTAACTTTTAATGTTGGTTTAAGATCTAGTAACTTAAGGATAATTTCTAAAAAAAAATAAGATTCTCTATACAGGTTTGAGATGGAATTATGATTTCATATATGGTTGTTTTAAGACTAATTATTTTAAGGTTTGGTTCATCTATTTCACTTCTAGTTATTACCATTTTAAGGTTAGTTTTTAGGTTAATTAAAATGTTTATAGCTAGTGATTCTTAATCATAACTTATGATCAATAATTTATTAAGTTATACCAATGAGTAACCAATGAACTTATGCTAGGCTTATTAAACCCAACCCAAATCCTAGGAAAAGTTTATAGACAACACCTTATTAAGTTCATCTATCTTATAGTACCCAAGATTCATTTCTAATATTTGCTTTATAAAGATTATATGCCCTAGTCCTATCTAATCAGTGTCTTATTTCTTTTTATTAATGGTAGTGCATGTTAGTGTCCTGACTCGTATATATACATCCATGGTAAATGAACAACTTATTCAAAGCCAAGATTTTCACATCACACATGAATGAACTATATTTTACCTCCAATCGACACCTAAAAGTAATGACATTTAAGAGTTCATTTACATTAGAAAACATTGATGAATGACTAACTAAAAAATATTTCATTCATTTTAAAAGAAAATTTTAATTTTAACAATCAAATTACAAAATGAAGGTGCTACTCTTAATAAACATCCAAAGTTATGACTTGCTATATTACTTTAGACATGGTAGGTGAATAATACGTTGAAAATTAACAATTTTACTTAAAAATTAAAGAAACATTATAAAGAATCAAATGAGGAGTTTATAAAAACATTGAAATGTAAGCCTTTTAAAGGCTTTTTAGCATGAGTCAAAACCTTAGTGTATTTTATAAATAAATTATAAAACCCAATGTAAATATACATATAAGTCTGGATATTATTATTTTATAAGAAAACAAACTGATGCATAAATAATACAAAAGAATGATTAAGAACATTAAATATGAACAAGATATAAAATTAAAGGATTCAGCCTAAATGCATAAAAACCAAAAGGTCTTGAAAACATATTAAATAGATTCGCAATGCAAGTTCATCCATGAAATACATTGAATACATTTGCATTGTTTGAATTAGACCTTAGAATGGTAGGTTCATTTTGCTCTTTATTTTAATTTTTTGAAAAGCAATATTGATGTTAATTCAATAGAAAGGTAATCAAAAATTACAAGATAGATGCAAAATTCTGACTTTTTGAAAAGATAATAAAATAAAAATTACAAAATAGATACGTGAATGACCGAAATACATCAAAAATATAATTTTAGAATTTTTTATCTTTTTTTAATTTTATTTAAAAAAAAATTAAAATTTAGTTTATAACAATTCATGAATATTTAATTTCATTCAGTATCTTTAATTTTGTTTTTTAAAAAAAATTCACAAAGTACATCATGTGACATGAACATGATTGAATTTATATTGTTTTTAGATTTTCACCCAAAAACTAATGAAAGCATATCATGTGACATATGCATGACAAAATTTATATTTTTCTTAGATTTTCACATAAAAACAAATGACAATATATCATATGACATGTGCATGACCAAATTTATAGTTTATATATTTAAAATGTTTTTTATTTGAAAAATTAAAAAAATAAAATGCTAGATTTCTTTTTCAAAACTTACCATCTCTGAAATGGATTACACATGCAACTTATTAAAATTAAATTTAGATTTATTGTACCCTAATCAAAATATCAAATTTTATTCTCTTATAGATTTATTGTACCCAATTAAAATATCAAATTTTATTCTCTTAATTGTACTCTTATTTTTAAGATGTATTTTTAACGTATAAATTTCGAACTTGATCATGTGCAAATTATATAATGTACTTGCATTAATTTTGACAAGAAACATTTAATGAAATAATAGATTAGAGACACTATAGCTTTTTTAAAAAATAGAATGAATGTAATTAATGACATTGTAAGGATAGACTAAAAATAATTTTAAAAATGTATGAATATATGGAATTATTTCTCCTTAATTTGATATAATTCTCATTTCCATATTTATATATTATTTATGTTTTAAAAAATCATTTAAATTATATATCAAACTTAATATAGTTCTAAAATTAGCATACATGGTTTAATTTAAATAGATGGTGTGTGAATTACATGGTATGAATTACAATGAATATCCTTAAATTAAAGGTAATAAGTGATATCCTATTAATTATTTAATAAGATATACTTCAAAAAATAAATAAATAAATATAAGTAAGAGAAGAAAATAAAATTTATAACCAATTAAAAACAATAAAAATATTATATTTTAAAAGTAAGAGAAGAAAATAAAATTTTTAACCAATTAAAAACAATAAAAATATTATATTTTAAATGGACACACAAAAGACAACTCCTTGCACGCTATAAAATTTCTGGTTATCTTACATGGAGTTTTAAAAGACGAGACCCGCTTGGGGGCAAGAAAAAGGCACCACGTAAATAAATAAGAAGAAAAGTTTGAGGCGGCGCCTTACGCATAAAAGGAAGGAGGGGCGCGAATCTGGACGATGTTTCTGGTTCTGGTTTTTCTTCTACAAAAACAAGTCAAGTAGGTGGTAAGTAATTAAAGAGGGGTTGCCGTCGCTCCTCGATATCATTATTTTAGCATACAATTGTCCTTCTCTTCTTCTTCTTAACCAACAACAACATTACGTTGAGATTCAGATTGCGTGTCTGGAACCGCAGAATTAGGATAGAACCCAAACCAAACCAACCTATCTTCGTAAATGTTTGAGTTTTGGGTTGTTTATGGTTAGTTAAGACATGAGTTTTTGTGTGTGTTTTTTCACTGGATGTCCGGCAGAAAATTAAAGGGTGTGTGTCCTTATAAAGAAAAAAAAATTATATGATGGATACCAAAAGTGGGTTTTAAGTCGTGGGCTAACAGTTTCTTTGTTTGCGTTTGTTTCTGCTAGAAATTAAATGACAACGAGTATAGCTGGTGGAAGCAGCAACCTCCACTACCGGTTAAGTTTCCGCCAGGCTAAAGGTTGTAGACAAGCTTCTTGGATTTCCAGTTTGACATTCAATGGATGCTTGCGGAATGAGATTTCATGGTATAATTGTTATGAATCTTGGTTTTACCATTTAATTCTTGACTTACAGTACGTTGATTTACGTTGTTGTTAATTTGTCTGTTTGTTTGCACATGCTATTTTCCTTGCTTTGTAATCCCGTATTTTCTAAGAGGATTGCTGGTAGTCTTTACATGTTTGTATGTAGTTGAGGGCACAGCTACTCTCGGAAAAGATTTTCACAATATAATCGTACAAGCCTCTGATCTGGCTATTTATTTATTTATGAAGTTGTTCCCTATTACTGCCTTGTAGTTATAGAGACATCCCTTTAGCTGCATCAATGGTGGATGGCAGCCATCAATGGCCAACTTGCAAACCCACACATGCAGAAAAGATGATTTCTTTGTTTCTCTTTAAGATTTTTTTCTCTTTTGCCTCTATGGTGTTTGTTGAATAGACCACCAGAGAAAGACAAGTTTAGAGTCGATTTCAACTTTGTGGTGTTTATGTCACTAAGATGATTACTCCGCTATAGAATTGCTTGGTGAGGAGACGGCTGCCAGACATGTCTCTTTCTTCTGAAAATAAAGTATACTGGATAATGGTTCTTATTTGTGTCCTGATCTTCGTTATTCTGGATTACATTTCATATAATTGCTTTCCTGACATTATGTCGATTTCGGGAGTAATCTTCCAGGTCAGATGGGCTATCGAAGTTGTTGCAGTTCCAGAGATGTAAATTTTCCCGATCTACCATTAGCAAAAACTGGAAACCTCTTGGAACAAGAAAAGTAAGTGTATCATCTTGCTTGAGAGATAGTACAGTTAAGTACTTTGATTTTGCTGTAATTGGAAGTGGAGTTGCTGGTCTGCGCTATGCTCTTGAAGTTGCAAAATATGGAACTGTTGCAGTCATTACTAAGGCTGAGCCTCATGAGAGCAATACAAACTATGCCCAAGGTGGTGTTAGTGCAGTGCTGTCCCCATCAGACTCTGTGGAGAGTCACATGCAGGATACTATGGTAGCAGGTGCTTATCTATGTGATGAGGAGACTGTCAGAGTAAGATTCAGAATTATTAACGCTGTGAATCGTATATTGTGCGTAAACTGATAATTGCAGTCTGTTGACTTTGAAGAATTTTATTGAATATATGCTGAATTTCTGTGAATTTAGAACATGCAATGAAAGGTTTGTAGGAGCACTTTCTCTAAAGCTTGTATGTGCATTGTGAGACATATTTACTGATTGTTAATTAAATAAATTCTCTGCTTCTTTACTGTGTTTTTCATTATGTTTGTACTTTGTCTAGGTTGTCTGCACAGAAGGACCTGACAGAATTAGAGAATTGATAGCTATGGGTGCAATGTTTGATCATGGGGAGGATGGAAACTTGCACCTAGCAAGGGAAGGGGGTCACTCTCACCATAGAATTGTTCATGCTGCTGATATGACCGGAAGGGAGATTGAGCGAGCTCTGCTGGAGGCGGTTGTCAATGATCCTAATATCTCTGTGTTTGAGCACCATTTTGCCATAGATTTGCTAACTTCTCAGGTTCGCATTTTAACGTTTTTTTTTTTTTTAATAAAATCATGCGGTCTTAGACACTCTTATATGGTAAGCTTTAGTTGAATTGTTTCTAAAAGTATTTAAAGGCAAAAGGTAGCTAAAAGGCGTTAAGCTTGTAAAATTCCTGAGATGCTAGGCGCACGTCTAAGTGCTCGCTCGAATGAACCAAGGCGATATGCAATAGATTAAAAAAAATGTATTTTATACATATATATATATATATGTATCCAAATTAAAATTAGATCTTTAGAAAATAAAAAAATTTATAAAATACCATAACATAGTAAAAAAAGTTATATTTTTCACCCTTAAAACAAAATAAGATAATATAAAGTTGTAAGTAATCAAATAGATTGAAAAGAAAACTTAAATATCATCATTATTCATTAATCTTCAAAAACATCTCCGTCCATGCTTCTTGTTCTATATGACTTTGTTCAATGCAAAGTGTGGCTGGTGTTTCTTTTTAAGTGTCCTTCCTTGAGTGTATGTCCCCTACTTTAAATGGTTTTTATTCTTTCTTTTATCCTAATCTTTGTTCTTTACAACAATACCCCAAAGTTGTTACTTGTGGTAAATTAAAAAAAAAAGACAAATAGGTCAAAACATAAATCAGTTAAAAAAAGAAAAAGAAAAATCCAATAGAAAAACAAGTATTTTAATCAGGTGCCTGCTTTAATGCCTGGCGCCTACTCAGGAGGCGCTCGCCTAGGCAGTGCTTCATTGAAATTCATTGCCCAAGGCTAATAAAGGTGTTGTGGATGGCCTGGAGCGCCACTTAACAACACTGAAAGTATCATAATATTATCTTTAATATATTATTTTAAAATTGAGTGACTGAGTGAATGTATTGACATTTCCATGAATTCACTTATCTGCATTCGGTTATATAAAGTTGAGTGTCCATAGCAGTGTGAATACTACAATGAGCTTTTTGTTTGACATATGGTGGGAAGAGAAGTTAACTCAAAATATCAACGAATAGTAAATATAATGGCTAGAAGTATAATAAAATTGATGCTGGAACTAGAAAAATAGGTTCATGGTTGGTAGACAACCTCCAAAATGTAAATTGATTGATAATAATAAGAGACATGTCTGAAAAATAGGACTAAATCCAAATACTAACAGGAAAAGGACTCCTAATAGTGAATCCAAATGACATAAGGATTCCTAAACTAAATAAAAAAACAAAATTACCAAGTATTAGTTCTTACAAAAGCTCCTGCTTCATTGTTGCTGAAATTGCAGGATGGTCCTGACATGGTTTGTCATGGTGTGGACACTTTGAACACTGAAACTCAACAGGTGATGACCGGTTCATTTAATCAGGACTCAGTTTATATTTTACTATTGAAGAAGTTGTAGCTTTATCCTGAAAATCTTATTTACCCTCTCATTCCAGGTGGTTCGATTTATTTCAAAGGTGACTTTACTTGCATCGGGTGGGGCTGGGCATATCTACCCATCCACCACAAATCCTCCGGTAACTATAACTTTTTTAAATGCTGTTCCCCATTAGTATTTTGCTTCATCAGATAGTTTTTATTACACCTTGTGTTCTTATAGGTGGCAACAGGAGATGGAATGGCTATGGCTCACCGAGCTCAAGCTGTGATTTCCAACATGGAGTAAGTAGACACTCATTGAATATTATCAGGAAAAGGAATATTTTCCAGTCATTTCAATCCTTATCTCTAGTATTGGTGACATAAATTGACAATCTGTGACTGCTTGTACTATTCTGAGGAATGTGGAAGGAATCTAAATGAATTCATGTCTTTAATATTATCAAGATGTGGAAGGAATCTAAATGTGTACAAGATCACTTTCAGATGGTTTGATGTCAAAGATGGAATATCTGCCAGATAATTTATCCTTTAATATTATCAAGTAAGCTTAAAATGATCTGGATGATTAGCTATGGAAGACCTAAACGATGATTTTGTTCTCATGTTACTTGTAGTAAATATGTGTTCACTACCTGTTAGAGGTGGGATACATAAATTGGTAAGCTTTTTTTATTGAAATCTGCCAAGCCATTTATATTTAGGAGAGTCATTGCTTTCCTTTGGTATTTAAATACCATGTATCATTTTATTTGGCTTAGGAAATTTCCCATCAGGTATCTCATCCCTGCTTATCTTGTACTTTCCAGTAGATAATTGGAGTCATGTTAACTGGGATCTTTCTTTCCTTCTTTTTTCTGATTGGATCTTAGTAACCTACACTTCTGTATTTTTGTTTCTTTCAGATTCGTGCAGTTCCACCCAACTGCTTTAGCTGATGAAGGGCTTCCCATAAAACCAATCAAAGCTCGAGAAAACGCATTTCTCATCACTGAAGCTGTAAGGGGTGATGGAGGCATCCTCTATAACCTAGACTGGGAAAGATTCATGCCCCTGTATGATGAGAGAGCTGAGCTAGCTCCTAGGGATGTAGTGGCGAGGAGCATAGATGACCAGCTTAAGAAGCGTTGTGAGAAGTATGTGCTACTTGATATTAGTCACAAGCCTAGAGAGAAGATTCTCTCTCACTTCCCCAACATAGCTGCTGAGTGCCTCCAGTATGGCCTGGATATAACCCGCCAACCAATTCCTGTGGTTCCTGCTGCCCATTACATGTGTGGTGGAGTCCGTGCCGGGCTTCAGGGGGAGACAAACGTGCAGGGCCTCTATGTGGCAGGTGAGGTTGCATGCACTGGTTTGCACGGAGCAAACCGACTTGCTAGCAATTCATTGCTGGAAGCACTAGTTTTTGCTCGAAGAGCTGTTCAGCCATCAATCGATCACATGAAGAGCTCTAGCCTTGATCTCAGTGCTTCAAATTGGTGGGCCAGACCAGTAGTACCCAATTCACTTGGGAGCAATGTAATGGACAACGTATCGAGGAAGACAAGGGAAGTGAGGAGAGAGTTGCAGTCAATCATGTGGAAGTACGTGGGGATTGTCCGGTCAACAACAAGGCTTGAAACTGCGGAGGGAGAAATCAGTGAGTTAGAGGCCCAGTGGGAGAAGTACTTATTCGAGGAAGGATGGGAGCAGACAATGGTGGGGCTTGAGGCTTGTGAAATGAGAAACCTCTTTTGTTGTGCAAAGCTGGTTGTGAGCAGTGCACTCTCTAGGCATGAAAGCCGCGGGCTGCACTATACGATTGATTTTCCTGATGTGGAGGAAAGTAAGAGGCTACCAACAGTCATTCTTCCATCCCTTGTGAATAATACATGGAGCTCACGACAGCTACACAAGCAGGTCATTTTTTAGGATTTACACGAGTATTCGATTGATCGTTCACATGAAAATTTGTTTTTGAAAGCCTTTGGCAAGAAATAAAATGTGGCTTCTGCAGCATTTGGGCAGCCTACAACTGTGTGTTCAATTTGTACAATATATTTGATCGTTCACTTGAAGATTTGCTCTTGAAAGCCTTTGGCAAGAAATATAAGGTGCCTTGCAGGATTGAGGCGGCCAATGAAAGAATCCAAGATGAAAATACGGTTTCGCATTTTCGTTGCCGATTTTCAGTTGGCATAAAAAGTATCGACGCCGGTTCATTTTGAAGTTTTGTCTCGGAGTTAGTATGAAGACGAAAAAAGCTTTTATATAAATACTTATTTTTTATATAAACTAGTTACGTGAGCAATGTTAGTTAGATATTCTTATTTTTTATAAAATAATTGTATATATAGGATTTTTCAAGGCATTTATGAAGTTTAAAAAACTTAGTTCAAATTAAGAATTTTATGTGAGTATAAAATCAAATAAATAAAAAATTATTAATAATATGTAAAAATAAAACTTAAAAAATCAAGAAACATTGGGATATTTAATCTTAAAAGATATATTTATTTATTTGGTTGTATTTGTTAAATTTAATTATTAAAATATTTTTTATTAAACCACACAATAATAAAAATATAGACAAATTAAATTGATTGAATAAAAAAAATCATCCATACAAAATATAAAATAAAATTATAGATGAATAAAAAAAGTTTTCAAATTTAAATGCAAAACTAAAAAAAATTATCTAAAAGAGGCTCTTCAAACAAAATAAAAAAGAGTTTACTAATTTAAACATAAATTAAAATAATTTATAGAAAAAACTATATAAAACAATAATTAAATTAAAAAAAAACTAGAAATAAAACAAAGGTCAAACGTTGTTGGGCGTGGAAAATCAGATCAGCTCGCCTAGCCTATTTTGTTGTTAGGCGTGGAAAGTCAAACTAACTCGCCTGGCTTATTTTGTGAAGGCATGTGCTAGGTGGCCCTTAATTTTTTTCGTTTGCAATTGAGGCCGATAACTCCACCTAAAATGTTTTTAGAAAAAAAATTAGACAATTACTTATCTAATTTGCCCAAATTTCAGCCATTATAGTGGCTGAAAAATAAGGCTTAAGTTTTTTTACCTAAAAACTCATTTTTCAACTCATTGTTTTATCTGAAACACCTGTAAAATACCGTAGAAACCGTGATAAACCTATATATAGCCTCAAAACATAACAAAAAAAATCTCAAAAAATTAAAAACCAACCTGAGCTTATATATGGTTTTTCACAAACTTTAAAGATAAAAAAACACTTAATATAAACACCTCTTATCAAATGGAACTGTTTAACACAAATATCATTTGTTTTTTTGGCCTAAATTGGTGTCAATGACACTTTTCTCTCTCTACAACTAGAATCTAACAACCTCTCTCTCTTCTCTCTCAACTAGGGACCAAAAATGAACTTTTACACCAAAATTAAATTGGAAAAATATTAAGGTACTTAAATTGTGTAATTTGCATGATTTTTAAAGTTTAAGAACCAAAGTGCATTTTTTGTGAAACGTATAGTACACCTCTTTATGTTTGACGCCTTTTTCATTTTGATCTATCTTCTTTCAACCTCGTCCTTTAATAAGAAATCAAAATGAATTTAAATCACTAGAAAAAAAAGAGTTTAAGGATCGATTTGAAAAAAAATAAAAATTTACGCAACTCATCCCTAATAATATATGAGAGGATAATCAATAAAGCTTTACAAAGTGAAAAACTCACATCTTTCAAAGTTATACTTCATATTATCTCAACTTGTATATAACACTTTATGTAACTAAATAAATATTTACCTATACAAAATTATTAAGTTGACACCTTTTTTAGAATATTTACATATAGATACATGTCCCCGTAACAACAGGTTAAATCATTCTTTTAAAAACACAAAAAAAAAATGTAAATGGGTTGCAATATTTTAAAATGGAAAAAAAATCAATCAAAAATTAATAATAAATTCAAAATCTAATGTAAATTGAATGACAACATTTTTAAAAGATTAAGTATCTTTATAAATATCTAGGATATTTATAATATATTTATATTAAATATCTTATAACTTAGATATTATGAAATATTTATATAAAATAAAAATTAGAAATTAGAAATTTCTCAAGGTATTTATCATAAGAAAGTCTCTATAAACAAATATCTTTAATAGCATAAAATGGTCATAGCTTATCTTTCTAGAACTGGTGCTTTTTACAGGTGTCACTAGTCCCACCAAATCCTCTAGTTCTAGTTTTATTAGCACATGAAAAATGCTTACAATCTTTCTCCTAAGAATTTTTTCCAGCTCCCTTACACTCCTAGAACTCCTAGATAGATCTATTTATATAGACTTTTTTTAGAGAAATATCTTAAGAAATATCTAAGTTTTAATATATTTCATATAAATATCTAAGTTATAAGATATTTTATAGAGATGTATACATTGAATAAAACACTATAGTTTTTTCTTTTATCATCACTTGCTAATGAAAAAAATATTACGAGTATATGACGGAATAAAAAAATTGCTAAGAATAATAGTTTTATAAATTAAAAAAAATAAAATGACCATAACTTTTAATTAAAAAAAATGACTAGAACCATCATGTATATGAATAGACATGTAAGAAGCATAAAAATTTTATCAAATAAAATTGGCTCATTATAAAATGTATTAAAAGCTATAATGTTTGTTGATATTCATTTTTTGTTCCCACATAAATATAAAAAATATTAGAAAAGAGAAAAAATTAAAAAAATAAACAAGAACATTAGTAAAGAGAACATGAAGAACACCTAGAAAATTGCCAAAAACTGGTAGGGAAGGATCAAACTATAAAATGTTAAAAACATTAGCAATCTAGTTTTGATTAATGAGAGTTTTAATGTCATAGAAAATTGAATTTGAGAAGGAAAATTCAAAATTGGATGATTAAGAACTCAATTGGAGTTTTTCAAAGTTTAATTGAATTTATTGAAGGCTTAATTACAAGAAAAAAATAGTTGTTAAGTTCAATTTAGATTTTAATTGAAAGAAATTAAAGTCTAGAAGTTAAATTGCAATTTGAAAAGCTAATTTGATCAAATCAGAAGTTTAATTGCATAAATATTCAAGTTTAATAAGTAACTAGGGATTTCATTAAAGAAAGTCAAAACTATGGGCCAAACCGTAAAAGGCGTGCGACTTCAAGAACTAAAATCGGTAAAATCAATGGCCAAACTTAAAAAAATTGAAAGTTTATTGATCAATTGATAGTTAATTTGTATAAATCAGAAACCAATGATCAAATTAAAAAATGAGCTGAGCTTTGAGGCTGATAATTGAGTTTGATAGAGGTAAAATTGCATCAAATTGAATGTTGAATAACAATTACGAGTGCAATTAAAAGAAATAATAGATCATGGACTAATTGAATTTTAGCAAAATTCCAAATTAAAAACCCTATTTCGCAGTTGGTATCCTATACAACATGTCATTTGGTTCATGTTCAAAATGTACCATTTGGAATAGAGGGCACACACTATGTCATTTTCTATTGTTCATCTTCTTCTTTATATAGTTCTGAATTGATCAAGTTGGCCTCTTTAAACAAATAAATGAGAAGCTACGAACCTCCAAATTAAGTAATATTTGACTGAAATAAAAGATGTCCTCTACTAACTTCAGGTGGTCTCCAATGACGTTTATATCAAAGTTGCTCTAACAAATCTTAAAAAACAGGTCAACTCAATCAACCTTAATTATGATATCTATTTTGCAAAATGATTTATTTTTTTCATATGATCCATCCTCAAACCTTCTTAATGGGTTTGTATTAAGGACTAAACACATTTCTTTCAAGATCATCATGCTAGAAACAACTTTTTAGTCTCAAAGTTTAATAAAACTACTAAAATCTCCAAAACCACCATTACAAAACCAACAAAGTACAAAACTTCTAGCTATTAAAGCATACCCAAAACCCTCCTATTTTGGATTAGAAAGTGAAACATTGATCAATCATGATAAAATCTTGATCAAAACCCTAGCAACAGCCTATAAATACACTTTGAAAATCCAAAGAAAAGAGGGAGAAAAAAAAAGCTTATTCATTAAGTTCATTAGTAATCAAGTTTATTATATGGCATCTAAAAGTTAAATAGATAAGATAACGATTAAGCAAAAAAATTGAAATTGTAACTATTTTAAGCTTGGAAGGTATAAAACCTTCATTTATTCTAGTGGAAAATGTTCATGAGGCACATCTCCAACTTGTTTTTACATATGTAATGATGTTTTTAAATTTTTTTTAATGTTATAGTGTTTTTAGTTTTGATTTTGACTAATACGTAAAAATAATAATTTTATTGTTTAAATTTTTCTTTGAGTTAATTACTGATGTTTCTAGATACTAAGATGATTTTTGTTGGGTTGATTTGATGAAATAAGATGGTTTTGAAAGATGTCAAATGTGACAATAAGGTTGTTGATGTTTTTTTATGGGTTGCTATTGCATGCAAGCTCTTGAGTTTTGGCCAAATCCTTTAAAATGTTAAAATGTCAGTTTTGAATCTTAAATTGTTGAATATGCTTACTGTTTTAATTTAAAAGTTTTGGAATATGAAACCTTATACATGATTTTGATGATTTGATGTTATTTGTTAGTTTTTTTTATTCAAACATATATGGTATTTATAAGGTGGATTGTTATGGCTGAAAGCAATAGGTTTAGAGATTAAAAATGCATATTCTGGGTTTGGTAATAGGTTGGGTGTTTTCTAGGCAATTCTGGTTTTTGTTCTTGGGTAGAACATTGCATCGGCTCTATGATTTAGACCAATTTTGGTCTAATTATTTGCACTGATAACTTCATAAGACTTGATTAATCAATTATCCAAGACTACTTTATACCAATAATTGTTTTTTCTGAATTTTAATACTAGGATTTTTTTTTTATACTGAAACCTATTTTGATCAAATTATAATAATTGGGTAATAATCATTGATGTTTGATGCTTAATTATTGTTAAATGATTGATTTTCAACATCTTTATGCCTTTAATTTCAATGTATTTGGTTGGATTTGAGAGTCATGTCGCTGGGTTTGTTTCTAA